CAGTGTGGGAGACAGAGTGAGACTCCAACTCAAAAAAAAAAAAAAAGAAAGCAAAGGCTTCACAGACAGACACTGTGGCAGCAGTGATAAATACTGTGTATTTGATGCAGGAATATTTCACTAGACTGCGTATTAATCGGTTGTTTTTTATTTTCAGAGGGCTCGAAACAGACTGTGAGCAAAACGTCTGCTGGACGAGGCCAAGTTAACTGCGCAGCCGGGCCTGGCCCTGCCCGTTTTTCCACTCTCTGCTGTGCCTCTGCAACTTGAGCCCAAGGCAGAAGGCAACCGGGTGAGCATGGGCTTTCTCTCCCTCCTCCCTCCTGCAGTGAGAACCCCCTTCATTCCTTTCATTTCTTTCTTCCTTCGTTTCCTTCCCTCCTTCCATTTCTTTCAGGGATCAGATCAGAGAACCACAAAATGTGGGAATGTCCCTCCAAAGCCAAGATTGAAATGTACTTTCTACTGCAATTAATTTTGATTCTAAGAACCATATTAACAGAGATAACCAAAACAGCACCAGAAATAACCAGTCAGGAGACACAATCTGGACACTTACTTATCAAATTTGTGGATCTGTTCTTCATTATAAGCTAGTCCTGGAAATAAATAAATAGATGTTAGGGCGGAATCGTAACATCACGCCCAACATTTTCTTCTTTGGGGGGATTACTGCTTCAAAAGGCCACGGGTGCGAAGCAGGTGTCACACTTGGGTCTGTAGGCCACTGACAGCCCAAGATGTGTCTTCTGTTTGGTCAGTACAGTGTTAACATTTAAAAAATTGGCCGGGCACAGTGGCTCAAGCCTGTCATCCCAGCACTTTGGGAGGCTGAGGCAAGAGGACTGCCTGAGTCCGTGGGCTTGAGACCAGCCCGGGCAACTTGGCAAGACCTTGTCTCTACAATATATCAAAAATTAGCTGGGCGTGATAGCATGCCTGTAGTTCCGGCTACTTGGAAGGCTGAGGCAGAAGGATTGCCTGAGCCCAGCAGGTTGTGGCTGCGGTGG